TGCATCCCCAGCAGGGACTCGTTCCTGTGATGAGCTCAGCCCAGAGCTGCTTCTTGGCAACGAGGCCTGTCTCCCAGGCGGCTTTATCCGGGAGCTCGCTAATAGGAGCGGCTTTGGGAACAGCATGTACTTGGCCTGACCATGTCCCAAGTCCTTTCCCTTGTCATTCATTGGGTTCTTTGACCTCTAACGGATTTTTTCTGTGGATTTCCAGGACAAAGCTCTGGAGAGGGGGCATTTTTCCAGCTCGGGACACAAATACAGCTGGTCAACCTTAGTTTTCAGATGGAAGCTGTTGTCAGCTTCCCAGCCAGCCTAGCGACTCCCAGCTGTCCCTGCGGGTCCAGTCCTGGACTCTCAGAGAAGGCCACAGAAGGCCACTGCCCCGCCAGCCCCAGTCCCTCCGGCTGGGACAGGCACTCTGGGAGGCAGGAGCTTCACGTCCTGTTGGAAAGGGCTGGGGACAGGGAGGGTGATCGTTTGTGACCGGTTTGCCCCACCACTGCCCCTCTTTCACTCCCAGAAGCCCCTGGGACAGACTCAGGGGACAGGGCAGACAGAGCACAGGCGTGTCACCCCGCGCCCGAGCAGTGCCCCCTGGTTGGGAGGGCCCGCAGCTCCCGCCCTCCCCCCACACCACTCCAGGGTGGACCCCGCTGCTCCTCCACTGACCTCGGCCTCTGCTCTCTGAGGCAGCCAGGTATCTGGTGTCATTCCCTGTGACCTTGGCAGGCACACATTCTGTGGCAGCAATGGCCAGACATCCTCTTGCTCCGGGCATGCACCTCTCCAGATAACGTGCTGCTCTGGGATCCCAGGAATGGTTCCCAAGGCATCTTAGAAACTCATGTTCCTTAAAAGTCAACTGCCCACTTGTTACCTTCAGGGAGGTAATGATGCGGGAGAGGCCCCCACAGGCCAGGCCGAGAGCAGCTGCCGCCCAGGTGAGGACCAGGCCAGGGTCTTGCACAAGGCCACCAGAGGCCTTCACTTACCACACACATGCGCATGCACACACATGTACACACACACATGCACACACATGCACACAAAATGCACACACACTCGTACTCACCACCCTCACACCCATGCCACACATACCACACAGACACACACCACATACATACATATACACACCACACACACACCCTACACACCCCACATACAAACCCCACATACATGTATATACACACCACACACACACACACACACACACACACACACACACACAGGTGGTAAGCACATGGGAGGCAGGGGCCCTGACCTTGAAGACACTGCAGCCCTCACACTGGTCCTGGAAGGATCCTTGCTCAGCCCTGGGTGAGGCACTGGGGCCCTGCAGATACATGTGGGGCCCTGACCACCTGTGGGAACCCGGGGATGCTCTGGGAGTCGGGGGCAGGGTCCCTGCCCCCAGCAGTGGATCCTGGGTGAGAGGATTCACTGAAATGGCCAGGAAGCATCCCCACAGGGTCAGGAAGCCAGGGCCTCTGCAGGCACACTTGCCGCCTCCCATTCCTGAAACCTCCCTCATCCCCAAGACCCAGGACACTGGGGCCTCAGCCAGAGGCTTCCTCCACCTGGTTCCTGTCCTGTAGCCCACATCACAACTCACCTGTGCCATCAGCTTCCCAGGGAGAAGCGGGGATAAGGGGAGACAATTGCCCCAGTTCCTTCCATCTCTCATGGCCGAGTTTCCAACAGGTGAGGCCAGAGGAAGCTGAGGCCTGGCAGGCAGCCCACTGACCATCCCCTTCCAGGTCCTGAGGACGACTCTGGAAACCCGTGTTCCTTGGGGCTATCACTGCAGCCAGCACACCTGGGCCCTCTCCTGACCTGAGCAGGGCGGTATCCCCTGTGCTGTGCTAGTGTGGACCGTCTGAGGGTGAGAAGGGCATGTCCTGGCTGGGAGGTGCTGGAGGATGGGGCAGGCTGGGGGCTGCAGGAACCTCAGGGGGGTGGCCTCAGCTCAGAGGACATCTGGGAGGGACTGTCTGGGAGCTCCCTTCAGTGATCCAGAACCTTCTAGAAACCTGTCTACATGTGGGAGAGTGGGAAGAATCCTGAATGCTGGATGGGGGTGGGTGAGGGTGCACCGACATGCAGAGGAAATAGCAGGTGAAACCTCAGGGACAGAGTGGAGGCAGAGGCCTGCACCTGAGGGGTGGGAGGCATTCTTGGGGATTGTGGGGGGAGCTCAGCAAAACTGAGCAAACCTGGCCCTGTCATATCTAGAACCACAGTCCTCTGAGCCAGTGGTTCTAGACACTGTGGAGGGGTGGGGGCACCTTCAGTGCACACATAGGCCTCACCGCCATTGGCCCCAGCCAAGGTCCCTGCAACAATACCTGCCAGAGAAGATGGAGTCCAAAGGGTCTAGTGTTCCTCCCCCACCCCCACCCAGAAATACTAATGCTGCCCAAATTCAAGGATATCCTTTTAATCACAAACTACCCATCCACAGTCTGGCCAGAGGTGGGAACAAACACATCAGAACACTCCCCAGAAATAATGACAGCTATGTCCCACTCCCTCCTACCACCCAGCTCCACTTCCTAGGGTGGCCTTCAGCTCCACTGGGGGCTTCCAGGTTAACACCTGCACTACTACAACTCTGAATCCTATTAGCCGATCTCAGGTGGGGTGAGGGGACTTGGGCCTGGTCTGCTGTCAGGGCCCAGGAAGCTATCCCCAGCCAGGCCCAGAGCTCCCCAGCCTCCCTGCCTGCCTGCAGCCTCAGTGTGGGGGCAGCTCCCAGGCCGCGGCCTACATGATGCCCTCAGTGCGCTTGCTTCTCCAGGCCACCAGCCCTGTCATGAGCAGGGTCACCAGGACGGGCACCAGAATGAAGGGGCAGAGGATGCTGCTGGGCGGGTCCTGCAGGGCCCGGCCTGAGGCGGGGCAGCTTCTGAAGTAGCGCTGGTGGACAGCGACAAAGAACTTGTTCACCGCTGCGTTTGGCCAGAAGCAGTCCAGCTTTTTCATCACGTGCATGGTGCAGTCTGCAAGCTCTCCATAGCTCCTACAGATGGAAAAGCAGGTGGTGAGTCCCTGGGTAAGGAGGGGACTAAGACAGAATCCGAGTGAGGGGCTCTCCACGCCATTCCCCCTGCCTTAGCAGCTCCTAAAGCCCAGGCAGTGGCCCTAAATCTAGGAGATGAAGGTCCTGGGTGGCTCCCATTGGGGCTCCCCAGATGTCCTGCATATTCTGAGACCCTAGAAGGTGAGCTGGGGCTAAGGGACAGTCCTCCCTGCTCCTGAGATCCAGCAGCTGGAATGCCACAATAGGGGCAGACTAGAGGTGGAGCAGCCGAGTACCTTCAGATGTCAGCCTGGGGCAATGAGCCCTGGGGTGGGCAAATCTGCAGCCCATTCAGAGGAATAAATTAGTGAACTTGAAGACAGGTTGGTAGAAATGACCCAAACTGGAACTCAAGGAGAAAGGAGCTCTGGTAAATTAGCAACACTCTCAATGATATCAACTCCACCTTGTAATCCCAGTCCCAGAAGAAGAAGAGGGAATGGGGGGGGAAGAGATATTTGAAGAGATAATGACTGAGGATTTTCCCAAAATAATGAGACATCAATTCATACACCCAAGAAGGTCATGGTACCCCAAACAGGACAAAAACCAAAGCAACAGCAACAACAAACAAACAGCCACACAGACGTGTCAAAGTCAAACTCTGAAAACCAAAAATAAAGAAGAAAAAACCCCAAGAACTTGGAGAAAAGACACCTCCAGGGAACAATAATATGAGTTACACCTGACTTCCCATTGGAGACTATGCAAGCCCAGAGATGATGAGGGCGCCTTTATAAAGTATTGGTGGGAGTGATGGGAGAATAAATCATCTGCCCGGGATCCTATACCCAGCATCATTGTGCTACAAGAAATTTAAAGTTCATCAGCCAAGAGAACAGAACAGAAAGAATTTTGGACCCACACAAAGAAATGAAGAGCTCCATATATAGTAAAATGAAGATATTTAAAAGAAAGTTTTCCTTATTTTTATGTATTTATTTTTTTGTTAATCCTCAGTGGAGGATATTTTTTCCATTGCTTTTCAGAGAGTGGAAGGGAGGGAGGGGGAGAGAGAAACATTGATGTGAGAGAGACACATCACTGGTTGCCTCCCACACGCACCCTGACCAGGGGTGGGGAGTGAACCTGCAACCCAGGTATGTGCCCTTGACAGGGATTGAACCTGTGACTCTTTGGTGTGGGGGCCAAAGCTCTAACCACTGAGCAACACCAGACAGGGCACTTTTCCTTATTTTTAATCTAAAAAGTGAGTAAATGGAGCAGAAGCCATACATTAATATTGGGGAGACACAGGGAAGCTTTCAAAGGCCCCCCCCCCCATCTGCTATCTTACCTGTCACTATTTTGCCTGCCTGGCTGCTCTCTGGGTCATTACCCCAAGTGCCCGGGCGCAGGGGGCCTCCTCCAGTCCACATGAGTGGGCAAAGTACATAAGGCCGGGGGGAGAGGGCGGGCAGAGACAGCAGGGGGTGTGCAGGACCCAAGCCCACTGGGTGCCTGACTGTCCCAAGTGAACAAGGACTCATGTTTCAAGTAGAAAACAGAAGTGGAAGGAGCCACAGATGTCCCGACAGGCTGGGTCTCATTGTGAGAAAAGAATCAGTTATGACACGTCGAGCACCTGGCACATATAAGTGCTAAATGTGTCGAGTGTTGTTAAAAACTAAGTCCAGCCTGGCCAGTGTGGCTCAGCAGTTGAGCATCAATTTATGATCCAGGAGATTGAGGTTTGATTCCCCATCAGGGCACATGCCCGGGCTGCAGGCTTGATTCCCAGTCGGGGGCGCGCAGGAGGCAGCCGATCAATGACTCTCTCATCACTGATGTTTCTCTCTCTCTCCCCCTCTCCCTTCCTCTCTCCGAAACCAATAAAGATATATTTAAAAACAAAACAAAACAAAACAAACTAAGTCCAGCCCTTGGGGTGGTTGTTGACCTGTGTTACAAACACTGGTCTGAGTGACCGTCTTCTCCCCGCCGCAGACCCACTGATCCCACAGGTAGTGTGTGGTGTTCTGCAGACCCAGTGACATTCTACCCTAAACATTGTCCCCCATCTTCTGTGCTTGAGGAGTGGAGCCGGGGTGTCCCTAGAAGGAGGTGTCACAATCTCTGAATGGGAAGGAGCCCCCGACCCAGGAAGCTGTGGCCCCACCAGCGCCACCGGCCCCACGGCCCCCACGCTGAGGCCGAGCCCGTGCTGGGGGGCTGTTCTGGGATCAGGCGCTCTCTCCCTGAAACGCTATCCCTCCAGTCTGCAAAGCCGCCCCCTCTAAAAATAGCTGCAGGGTGCAGCCGGGCTCTGCGTCCTGTTATTTATACGGAAGCGACAGCTGAGGGGTTCGGTAAATACTGTGAGTTCCGTCAGCGAGCGTGTGATAAAAGAATCCCCTTGGAGCAGAGGCAGTTTTCTCCTCAGGACACAGTACTGACTAAGGGCCCGAAATAATCCAGAAAAACGTTCTGGTTGCGCTCTCTCTCCAGTCCTCATGGAACTGAATAGTTGTCCATTTTTGGACAGAACTTTCTATTCCAGGCGGGGCAAACCCTGCTGGGACTGCTCCTGACCAAGACCAGGGGCGTTTCCAGTCTCTCCAGGGCCCAGGCCACGGCTCCTGCACCATGACTCACGGCTGCTCACTTTGGACAGGAAGTGTCCACTGTGGCCCATAGGCTCTAGGGACACTCATGGTTGCTGCTGTCCCCCAACTAGCTCTGGGTTCAAGTCCCAGGTCCACCTCTTGTCCCGAGTGATGCTGGGAGCCTCCTCTCACCTGTTTGAGCCTTAGTCTCCTTATATTCAAATGAAGACACAGGTACCCACCTGACAGGGTTACTGGGCACATCCAACTAAATGGCGCCCATAGATGGACGTTTTCTCACTGCCTCCTCCCCGACATCTGCTGTGAGGCTCAACCGGGACCCAGTTCTTGTTCTGTAAATTCGCCAATGTGTGCCTAAGCCCTCAAAGGCTGGAGGAAAAACCACTTTGGGATTCTGGTTCCCTTTATCTGGCTACCATTGGCCTCCGTCTACCTGGGATAATTCGCAACCTGGTGGCTTCCAGCAGCTTTAGATACCTGCTGGGGAAGGGGCAGGTGGCACCACCTGGCATCCTGGCGGTAGGACAGGTGAAGATGAAAGTGAGCCGTTGTTTGAGGCTGGCCTGTGGGGTCTGTCAAAACGCCAGACCGACATCGGGGGTGGGGCGTCCGGTAGACGGAGAGGGGCGAGGGTGGGGGCGAGACAGAGAAATACCCACGGTGCCTTTGGCTGCACAGCTCTCCTGGAAATGCAAACGGCTAGTAAGCCCCGGGGGGGAAAGTTTAACCCCACTATTAGGAACAGAAGAAGCTGATGTCCCAACAGGGTCCACTTTAGCAGTGAGGATGCTTCATGCCGGGGAGGAGCGGAGAAATGAGGCAGGCACTCTGGTCATCGCTCACAGGCGACGAGCCGGCAGCATTTTCCTGCAGAGCAGCTTAGCACTACGTATCCACAACCTCAAAATCGAAAGCACCCTTGGACCAGCAACTCTACTTCTGGGAGTTACCCTAAGTTAATAACGTGAAACGCAGACGGAAGCAATGCGAGGAGGGAGCCGCTGCAAATTCATAATTATGAAAAGCCGTAGCTATAGGACAGCGACGAAAGAAACTGCTCATAGGAGCCTCTGCCCCGTAGTATTGAATGAGGCAGGGAGGCATGTGTAAGACGCGGGGAAATCTGCACGCTCCAGTGCTGGGCAGAGGAAAGCAGAGGAGGCCTGGCCCTGTAAACGCTGTGGTTTCGGCATAAAATGCCTCCGGGGGACGGCCACCCAAGGGTCCTGATACGAGGGACTTCTGTTCGAATGTCGTGTCCTTGGAAAGGCCTCATGTGATGCTTCAGCCTCATCAGGCTCCGGGAAAGTGGGGCTTCGCTGGTGAGACGGGTCCTAGTGGAGCCTGTGCTTTAATTCATGCGATTGCTCCCGCTGCTGGTCTCGCGGCCAGTGGGTGAACACCGCGCGGCCAGCGGGAAACACCGCAGGCCAGGGGGAAACACCGCACGGCCAGGGGGAAACACCGCGCGGCCAGGGGGAAACACCTCGCGCCCAGTGAGTGAACACCGCGCGGCCAGCGGGAAACACCGCAGGCCAGGGGGAAACACCGCGCGGCCAGCGGGAAACACCGCACGGCCAGGGGGAAACACTGCATGGCCAGGGGGAAACACCGCACGGCCAGGGGGAAACACCGCACAGCAAGGGGGAAACACCGCACGGCCAGGGGGAAACACCGCGCGGCCAGGGGGAAACACCGCGCGCCCAGTGAGTGAACACCGCGCGGCCAGCGGGAAACACCGCACGGCCAGGGGGAAACACTGCACGGCCAGGGGGAAACACCGCACGGCCAGGGGGAAACACCGCACGGCCAGGGGGAAACACCGCACGGCCAGGGGGAAACACCGCGCGGCCAGGGGGAAACACCTCGCGCCCAGTGAGTGAACACCGCGCGGCCAGCGGGAAACACCGCAGGCCAGGGGGAAACACCGCGCGGCCAGCGGGAAACACCGCACGGCCAGGGGGAAACACTGCATGGCCAGGGGGAAACACCGCACGGCCAGGGGGAAACACCGCACGGCCAGGGGGAAACACCGCACGGCCAGGGGGAAACACCGCACGGCCAGGGGGAAACACCGCACGGCCAGGGGGAAACACCGCACGGCCAGGGGGAAACACCGCACGGCCAGGGGGAAACACCGCACGGCCAGGGGGAAACACCGCACGGCCAGGGGGAAACACCGCACGGCCAGGGGGAAACACCGCACGGCCAGGGGGAAACACCGCACGGCCAGGGGGAAACACCGCACGGCCAGGGGGAAACACCGCACGGCCAGGGGGAAACACCGCACGGCCAGGGGGAAACACCGCACGGCCAGGGGGAAACACCGCACGGCCAGGGGGAAACACCGCACGGCCAGGGGGAAACACCGCA